AGAGATTCACGTCGAAAAATTGTGTTTACGGCATTTTCTCTATATGTCGTAAAACTCGTAAATAAGATAAACAAAGCAATAGCAATGTACCCAATAAAAAAATTAAAGATGCCATTGTAAGCTTGAAATGTCACTTTGTTCTCCAATTCTGCTAATTACATGTCACAAAATCAAATAGGGCATATGTCAGCCTCAGATTCAGAAAACCAGTTTAGGTAGCAATGAAGTGTTAACCGCAGATAGTGAAACAATAACCTTTTACTAGCCATAGAGAGCTTGAAGCGTTATTTTCTGGTCATTATCGAATTAAAGTTATGGCGGCTATAAAACTATTAATTTTATATGTATGACTCAGTGTGCAATATCACTTCATGCTCTACCTAAATGACAACTGGAAATAATCATCGCAAACTGAAGGATGACCGATATCCCTACCTGATCAAAATGGGATAGCCGTTGATAAGCATCAAACGTTTTACCCCACTCTATACAGATCCTCATTTCACGTATATTCCACATTCGGATATCGTTCATGGATGCTGGGTACAATTCTTTGAACACAGTACTGGGCTGAAAAACGCTGCATAAGTCATCAAGAAGTGGGCACTATCTGATGTAATATAAATTCGACGCAGTGGACGCTGGTCCGTCTCATTCCTTGCTGAATTTAAATTTCAAAGCTTACGTCTATAGTCAATTCTGGTGTCTCAAATAGTAGGCATGGAGAGGATAAAGCTTGTTGAACCGTTGAGACATCACGTATAACACATCGTCGTAATTCTTGGCATAATCCTTCTACTTGCGTCAGTTGCTCGACGATTTCCTGGATTAGATAGCATTAGAATTGGGGCTTGCTCTGTTAAATAACAGTCGACTAGTTGAGGGTTGAAAGGCTCATCTCAAGAAGACCAGAGAGCAAAACATTTCCAGTGATGAACTTTTCTTCGCTAACTTTTCGAAGATCAACATATTAATTGATTTTGAGCAGGAGAAGTAATCAAAAAGCTGTTTTAGTGCTTTCAAAAATCTTTAAAAAAGTGCAAATTTTCCATAGATATGGTAGAACTTCGCTTTTAAATCCTCCTAAACTTCATTTATTGTTTCGATCTTTTACCAAAAAAATAAATCTCGTAAAGTAGCAAAATGAGGTCCCAAAAGAAATCTTATAGATGAGAGATAAGAAAGAAATTTTTTCCGACTAGTCCTGGAACTAGAATATCCTAAATACAATTTGCCTTTGAAGGAAGTAGAAAAAAATAAATCTCCTTGCAACTTAAGT